TGCTACTATTCCAAGGTAATCTAAGGATACTAAACGAATGCTCTGCTCTATACCCTTATCAGATACATATCGAACCAGCATGGTACCCAGTAGTGAAAGCAACAATTCAGATGCGGGCCATTCGGGCTTGTTCACAGTTGCCAGCAAATCATGGATAAAGTTTTCAAAGAGTGGTCGAAAATCTGTTTCATTTGATCGAGACTTGCACTTGTTCAAAAAAGTTGTTAAGAAATTGCCACCAATACTGACAGCTACATCATACTTTTTTAAAACCACAATATCTTTGTTGGGCTTTACTATTTTCTTAGCAGGATCATCGTCATTATCAACAACCAGTTGAAATGCAGCAGTCGTTTTTACATTATCACAAAGCGAGTCTGGTAAAATTGTAGCACATTGAATTAATTGTAGCACTAGTGCTGTGACCATTTGAATATTTCCACCATTATTTGTAAGTTTATACGGACGAAGGTTTTTCTTCGATGAAGGTAAACGATCAATCGAAGATAATATGTCTCCTAAGATACTGTTCCTTATTTTATCGTATCTTTCTTTCCGAAATATCTGAAATATACAAAATTTTAATATGAATGGAAACTTTATACCTGTTTAAAGATATTAAGTACTAATAAGTACTTCATTGATTTTCATAACTTACAGTGGTAACCAGTTCCAGGCACACAAATTGCAATGTTTCAATATTGTCTACAAAAAATGGTTCTATAGCAAGCGTCGACAACGGTAAAACTATGGTATCCACAAAAATACACTTATCAAAAAGTGCCACAAACACCTTTAAAAGCTCAACTGTTTTCGAGTAAAAAAGCTGTAGGTTTCGATGATGTCCTTGATGTGACTTAATTTTTTTGCGATTAGTACTTTTTTTCATACTCTTAACTGTATACACAGGATCATGAGAAGGAAATATTGTTTCGCGCAGTTGAAATTGGGCAAACTTTATAATATGTGAAATGTTATCCTCTTGCAGAAACTTAAGATCGCTCACGGTCGAATAGATATTGCATATAAGTAGGCAAGCATCCATTGCATTTAAAATTTTGTCTATTACTTCATCATCTACAATTTCATCTTCGTCCTCCTGCAATTATTTATGAAATCAACATGAAAAGTAGTTCATTATATAATATAATACATACTGGTCCAGCAAAATAGTTTCTGGCTAAATAAACGTTACGCATAGCGTAATTTATTAGAAGCGTTAACTTGTTTTTCGGAATGGAGTCTAAGGCTTGCTTAGCTTTCAACTTTGCAACATCATTGCTCATCGTATTAAGAAGTTTTGGGGAAATGCATTCAATATTTTCGTCAAAGTGTTCTGCAAATGTAAAGAAAATATTTTTAAAGGCAAGGTTACTATTTTTATTTAAGTACCAGAATCAAAATTTGGGGATTCCGTATCGTCCAACATCTCAATAATTTGTTCCATATTTCTCATAAAATGTTGATATGTTTGTGATCGAGTTACTTCATCCTTTAAATCTTTTGAGTTTGCAATGGCTATTATTCGTTCGACGCGACGCACTTTGGGTTTTGAGACTAAAAAGAAACAAACGTAAGTTAAAAATAGTTTTCAACTATTATTAAAGGAGTACTTACATATTTGTTCCGGGGGAATATCACCAATAGAAACAGCCATCTTTCGCTTTGAAGCATACCGTTTCTCATCTGCTTTAATCGTTGAAAACATATCCAGTTCTGTGCTTAGAGTTTCCGTGGTAGCCTCACCGACTCCTAGCTCAGTCATAGGCATAACATTCAAACTTGTATTGGGCTGTTGTTCTGATGATTGTTGTAGTAACCCCATACTTCTAGCCAATTCTGGTGACTTTTGTACAAACTTTTTAATACTTTGCTGCATCAAGCGAGTATCCTCAACGTTAAGACGATTTATACATACCCGAACCTCGGACTTGCCACTCGATGACGTCGATGTCGAAGTAGCTGTCGAAGCTGAAATATTGTTTTGATGAGGTTCTTGGCTAATGGCAGGTCGATTATTATTACTTATTATCGATGTTGAAGTTGCAGGTATTAAGTGTAAGTCTGGCACGTTGGTTGTTAGCGTCGGTAACTGATTGTTTGTGTTTGGCAGTAAAGATTTCGCTTGATCTTTGTGATGTGCAGCTGATTCCGTAATCCGCTGTTGTTGTATATTTAATACATTTTGGAAGTTGCCTTGGATCATTGAGGTCGATGTTGTAGGAGCTTGGGATTCTGTCATAGCAGGTTGTAAATGGTAAATTGGTGATTCCAAAAATAATAATTCATCCGGCATCCGTTGAAAAGATGGATTATTGTCTACTTGTTTAAGATTATCGCAATTTAATGAATATTCTCGAACTTTAAGTTGACTGAAATACTGTTGCTGAGCTGAGTATAAAGATGAATTTGGGTTCTTGTTTTCTGCAATTGTATGAGTGATATCCATTTCTTCATTTTTTGGAAATGTTTGTGTAACATTTTCCTCTAGGTTTGGTGGTTTCTCCATTCGTTTGTTGATTTCATTCATGTTTGTCCTGGAACCAATCATGGAATACTCATCTGGAAGCACGTCAGTAGCAGCCAAACTAAAATGAAGCAGTTTTCAGAATTATTTAAGAAGTTAATAAGGGACGACAGTTGAACAATAAAAGTTAATGATTCCCACCTGGAAGATTTCTCAATATACGTTTGCGTTTGTTGCATCTTTTGTGATATATCAGTAGATGATGCTGTCGCCTGCTGAGAGGAATGTGATTGGCCCACAATGTGTTCGCTCGGGGTTAATTCCTTGGCATTGTTATGGTCATAACGCACTGGATTATACAAATAATATGGTAAGAAAAATCACATATATATATATATATTAGTACTGTTGCGACTTACTTATCTTTAATGGCGTGTTGAAAACAGTTGGGCGGAAATTGTAAATGCCCTGCAGCAGCTCTGGATAAGTACTTATATTAGTTCCATGTTGTTCAAAAGTATACTCTGGTTTTAACTCGCTGAAATATAATCATGATTAGTGCTGAATTATTAAGTATAAGCCCGTACTTACATATTGTCAGAGTTTGTTTGTTCAATCGCATTTACTAACTGACGTACGAGAGCTCCATCTCGAACAGAAAGCAAATTATCAGATTCACTGGCTACTAAAGCATGGAACAATAGTGACTTATTCAATGAGGCCGCACTCAGGAGTGAATCGGATACAGGTAACTCGCTGAGCACTTCGTAAAAAACAATGAATGAATTTATTGCATTTGAAAGGACAATATATAAATGAATACTTACAATCAGAAGTGCTGGTTAGACCCGCTAACGTTGTGACGGGTACGCTCGGGATGTCACGGTCCCCCATTATTTACGACAAGCTTGTATTCTCAGAGTGGTGTGCCCTTTTACAGTGGTTTGTTTTTATATACGATTCCGATTGATTTGTATAAATTGTAGGTCTAAACTGACAATAAATGGGGCAAGAATGCAGAATTGGTTTTAATAGACTGGTTACCAGATTATGTGTATGACACACATGTACACATTTTAGGCATTCATAAATATGTAGGTGTAGAATTGTCGACACAAGTATGTACTTACGTACATCTAGGTTAACACCCTTATTCTAACGCACAATTAATGAATACTTTATTTATTAAAGCATTTAAATATTTATTTGGAGCAACACATGCCTACATATGTTTATACTCAAGTCTGCCAGCCATGTACATACATTGTTATGTATGTATGCATGTAGATTTCATTCCTTGGCTATATCCAATATAGTCATTTGTACATCCATATGTACTTGTGTTTCACAAATTCACGTATATGAGATTTATCTTAGTGTTTAGCTTAAAAATAGTTAATATCGCACAAAAAACACTTGGAAAACGTAGGAAAAAAATATATATTATATTTCCCTATGCAAGAATACAAACATATCCATAGAATAGTTGCCTTGATTTTGGTAATTTTGTTTACTTAGTTAGCACTAGACCTCCTTCAAATATACTTTTATTCATTTTATATACGGCACACATTCAACACAATAAATACTTTGCAGCTATTAAAGTCAGTTCATTATTCATTTTCAGAAATGGAGATTTAAAGGAACATGGCCGACGGAACATGAACGGAGACTGAACGCTCTAAGTAAACAGATTGTATGACAGTCAGCTATTGAATCCTATTGCAGGGTTGATAGAGATAGCACATTTATGGTATTCGAGAAATGGTTTAAACTACAAAGTGTTTGCTGTTGATTTATTAACCATGGTAGATATGTAATCAGAAAACTATAACTCGGGGTCTGGTTTAACACCAAGAGCATCAAGGGCCTAGCCCTGTGGTACTCCAGAAGTAGCCATAACAGGTAAAGAAACAGTCTCAGCCGCTTCTCCATAGATTTTATTCAGAAGTATCTTAACCGACTTCGTATTAACGCACATATACACGAACGGAATTTAAAACAAACGCATGATATAATATTTATAAGACTTTTCCTGAGTACTTATAGACTGATATATATGAATACTTTTCAGAAGTATCTTAACCGACTTCGGATTAACGCACATATACACGAACGGAATTTAAAACAAACGCATGATATAATATTTATAAGACTTTTCCTGAGTTTTTACAGTGACAATTTCGTAAATGTAATCGTACAAAAATCATAATTTTTGCATATCAAAGCTTAATAGTTCGCAGACGGTTCATTTTTAGCAGCATCAGACTGCATTCCGAATTGCAAAGTTCTCTCCAAGAATATCAAATATTAAAAATAAATGCATCCAGAAAAGAATATCATAATTAAATAGAAAAAATGTAATGCCCCAAATGTATTATACATTTTTCATGGTGAACGAGCCCATTATTTCTCATCGGTATATTTACGGTATATTTCTCTGAGGGCCAAACGGTATTTTTTTTCGATAATTTCGCGGTCACACCACATAGCACGCTTGATTTTAACCAAAACAATTGTTTCAATGTGTCATTAACAAACGTGCCTAAATTATACCTTGCCCAGCATATAAATAGGATATAGATTATCGTTAGTTCTATCAGAAAATCTTAAAATGGATTCAAAATATTCATTGACCAACAATTCTAATGTACGGCTTATATCAACGAATTTTGCAACTAAGCGGAAAACTGAGGCAGTCAAATCTGATATGGACGTGAAAAATAAATTCACCTACCCGCTGTCCACGCCTCAAAACACGGTACCTGTTGTACCAGCTAGTAAAAGAAATTGCGTTGGACAACAAAAAACCTCGTTGCCAGTGTACAATTGCCGACATAGAATATTGAAGGAGATAGAATGTAATGACACTGTTTTAATTATGAGTGAAACAGGATCAGGAAAAACAACACAAATTCCCCAGTTTCTTTTACATGAAGGATATGCAAAGAGTAACATGATTGGTATTACTCAGCCACGTCGAGTAGCAGCAATCACAGTTGCAAAGCGAGTCGCGCAGGAGTTGTCAAGTAGTGTTGGCGATATTGTGGGATATACAGTTCGTTTCGAGGATCTTACTTCAAAGAATACAAAAATTCGTTATCTGACAGATGGTATATTATTGCGGGAATCTATAGAAGACCGCCTTTTGCTCAAATATTCTGTAATCATTCTGGATGAAGCTCATGAACGTACTGTAAATGCCGACTTATTATTTGGAATTGTAAAAGAAGCTCAAAAGGAAAGAAGTAGAAAAAACTTAGCAACTCTAAAAATTGTGATTACCTCTGCAACAATGGATATTGATCATTTCGGAAAATATTTCAAGTGTAAGGGATTGTATTTAGAGGGAAGAACGCATCCCGTCCGTGTATTGCATGCCAAGGAACCACATGATGACTATATCCACGCGTTACTAGTAACACTTTTTTATATTCATCGAACTGAACCAATCAAGTATGTATGAAAAAATGTTTAATAAATTATAATTTAAAAAAATGAATTCTAATAATGCTAATTGGTTTTAAAATTTATCAAATCAATTCACAGCCATGATGTTTTAATCTTCCTAACGGGACAAGAAGAAATTGAAGCGTTGGCTCGACAAATTCGAACACTTTCGAAGGTGAATTTTTCTTTTAAATACAGCTTAATGCATAATTACATAATTCATGTAGGAAAATGTATACTTATAAACAGTTGATTATTGATTTTAACAACAGACATTAATGTATGGTATAATCCTTCAGTATATTCAATATATTTAATTGTTATTAAAATAATTTAAATACAAAATATTTTTTTATCTGTTTTTAGATAAATGTAAATGGGACCACAAACGTACGTGTTTGTACAATGTACGCTCAATTATCACACAACATGCAGCTGGAATGTTTTTTGCCGTGTCCATCAAATGTACGGAAAATTGTGTTAGCCACAAATATAGCTGAAACGTCAATTACCATACCTGGTATACGCTGCGTCATCGATTGTGGATTTGTAAAAGAGAAATATTTTAATTCCGTTGACGGAATTGATATTTTAAAAACCGTTCGAATATCAAGAGCACAAGCATGGCAACGCACTGGTCGAGCGGGTCGTGATGCACCTGGAATATGTTACCGGGTGTATACAAAAAGCGAAATGGACTCTTTTATGAACTTGACTCAGCCGGAAATTCTTAGAACAAACCCGACCTCAACAGTGCTTCATCTCTTGGCTATGGATGTAGACTGCAATAATTTTGATTTTTTAGATGCTCCATTAGAAGAATCACTGACTAGTGCATACAGAAGTTTGAGTGGTCTTGGGGCTATAGATTATGGCTCTATATCGTGTATTACACCTTTGGGTCGTTTAATGTCCCAGTATCCATTAGATCCCAAGTATTCTAAATTGTTAATATCAGCTTCAAAAGTTGGTTGTATGGAGGAAATGTTACGCCTTGTTTCAGTCCTTTCGAGTGATAATATTTTTATTTCAAGCATCGCTAAAAATGAATTGGCTTCACTTGCACATGCCAAGTTTAGCTCTAAGCATGGAGATCATTTAACGCTGCTAAATGTTTTTAATTTATTTTTAAAGACAGACCAGCAGAAGGTAAGAAGCACATTTGATATCTACATTTATATTTGTGATTTTATGCGAATGGTTTGTTTATTTTTTTAGGTGTGGTGTCAGGACAATTATTTAAATTACCGCAGTCTAATATACGCTCGTAACATTTGTCGTCAATTGTCAGAAATAAGCGAGCGATTGGGCCTAACTATTAACAGCTCGGAAAACATTGAATCGTTTAAAAAATGTCTTTTAAGCGGATTTTTCGAAAATATTGCAATATTGCAAAAGGACGGTTCTTACTTAACTTGTTCCGGCAATCTTAAGGCTAAAATTCACCCTTCAAGTGTCTTTCACCTAAAGTACAAACCCAAATGTATATTGTTTACTCACTTTGTTCAAACGGATAATTACTATCTTCGACTAGTCACAGATATACATATGGACTGGGCCAAAGAACTAGTACCGAGTCTAAGAAGCCAAAATAAAATACTAAATAATTGTTAAAGTTTACTTTTGGATTGTTTTATAATATAAGGACCAAAAAGAAAGGAAACAAATTATTTCAAATAAAGGAGTGTATTTCTGTGATCATATTTGAAACTCAGAATAATAATTTGTATAAGAATTTCCCTGACCGTTTAGACACAGAATAGAATTTCCCTGATCATTTGGAAATTTTAAATATTAATTTTAAAATGTAAGGTCATAAGATATACAATCCAATAGCCAAGGAGTATTTATAATAAGCCAAATTGATTCTTCAATCGGATTAAATTATTTGTTCAGTGTTAAAAGTCTTTGCAAGCTAGCAATATCAAATAGAACATCAACATCGAGGAATATGATAAGACTACGGTATATTTTTAAAATGAGAACGTATATTTTGGTATATTTTGGAGGGTCTGGCGATATACGGTATTATTAATTCCGCGGTCACACTGCTCGTTGATTTTGTCAGCTGATTGGGTGAAAATAAGCATGCAAACATGTTTAGTTGACAACAAACTTGCAATAGTTAAATAATATACAATACAGGTAACATACAACTCAGTATTAGATCGTCATTACTGCAGGCTGGAATAATGTACACATATCATATGCACAATCGTCTCGCAAAAATCTTTTCACATGGAAAAATGTATGTAACTTGTAATTAACGCACATACATATGTACGTATGATATACAGTAGGCACACACATTATTCGTACACCCTTATCACCTAAGTTGGAACACCTACAAGTTGCAAGTTAGCGTAAACAAAAAAGCTAAGTTTATATCAAAAACAAACGTATCTACTATTTTTTTTAGTAAAAAGATACATTATTTCGCATATAACTTATTCGTACAGGGCTCAGGTTCTAAAATTAAAATTCAAATATTAAAGGTAACAGGTTTAACCTTCCCCCCTGGAAATTGGTACACCACTAATGACTAATATTAACCAATTCCACAAGCAGTACCGGCTGCGAGAGCTCCAACGATGAAACTTTGGGCTTACGTGAAATGTTCAGCTGGTGGCAGTGGTAAAAAAACCACATTCCTTACAGTTGGCATCACATTTTTCTCATCATATGTTAAATTTAGTTTTCGCATGACTTTTGGAGGAACTCATAGCCAGATTCCTTTTTGGAGAATGTGACTAGTGAACCCCACTGTGACCTATCTTTGATTGATTGACCTTGCTAAAATAAAATTGTTGTAAATTCAGTTCATTTCATGAAGATATCTTGATTTGTTCAGAACTTATCAATTTAGCAAGCTGAAATGGCCAAAGGCCCCACTGTGCGTATATATGTATTTGTAAGTACTAGAGAAACCAAGTTTTACATTCAGACAGATGAAGCACGTCACTGTTACAACTGTGTTTTAAATTTTCACCTGATGACAAATGTAGAAAAAATGTAATACGTAAAATACGAAGAAATCATATGGCTACCCATGGTGAATATCTAAAACGTCACCTTCGTAGTTATTTCACCATGAGGCTATCTATGTACATATGTATGTATGTATCACACTAAGGGTACATATATAAGTTTGTTTGTACATTACATATTCATACATGTATACTGACTGAGTACCGGGTATAAAACTTGTGGGGTGTCACGTTCCTCCTCATTTACATAGTTTCAAGAAGTGTTTCTTGTTTGGATGAATCCATGCTAATAAATGTACATATACAAAATTTCGAAGTACATACATACATATGTACATAGATGATCATGCATATAAATGTAGATTACCATTCATAGATATGAGGGATAGATTCTATAACAAAATGGACTAGTTTAGCCTTATCTAACTAATATTTTACATATTCTAGGTTTTTTATTTGGTGATGAAGTACCTAGTTCGATTAGATAAACAGTTTTTATAACATTCCAGTAAGTATACATTCTTTAATTTCATACCCATACCCATTTTTAATACTAATTTTTTGTATTAGCAACATGTATGATTCGAGGGACACTTATTCTATACCCCAGGAAGAACTTGAAGCCAGAAGAGTCCTGCGTCGATGGCATTTTAGAGGTAATTTTTGATTGATACACTTTAACTAAAACTAAATCCCCTTAATTGAGACCCTTGTTCTTAATTGTACTATATAATGTAATACCCGCTACTTTAAGAGTTGAGGGGCATATTAAGTTTGAGCTCGAAGTGGATGTATGCAACACACAGAAGAACACGTTTCCGACCCCATAAAGTATTCATGATCAGCATCAATAGCCGATGTATGTCTGTCCGTCCGTCTTTATGAGTGCTTAGTGCTACGAGACCATTAGAGCTAGAGCAACCAAATTTTGTATCCAGACTGTTATACTATCACCCTGTTAGAAGTGTATTTCGAAATTTAATTCAGGACATTAAACAGAAAGCACATTAAAGTGTTTATTCATACATAGGTGCCCTATCATAGGTGAGGGTCTGGCTTCTGGAGATGGCGGGCTCTGGAGTCTTTGTAGTCCGACCCTTGGGTCTACTCTCGGTTTTTCGGATTGTCCTGAGGTGGTGGTCTCTTGTAAATTGGTAGTTTCGGTTGGCTTGGCTGTTGGCTTTCCTTGACAATTCCTCGACACTTACTTCTCGGTCGAACACGAATGCTTCGGCGATAGTTTCTTGTTTTTCCAGACGGCGCTTGTGTATTGCAAACCTTCGGTTTCCGAAGCAAATATTTAATTTATGTTTAAAATAATAAAATGTAATCAGTTTATATTTACTTTCAAAAGCGTTTCATATAAAACAATTTAAATTGAAAAAAAAAAACAATTTTAAAATTCCAGACAAAATTCCTGCTCGCTTGGTTCTGTATTTTCTTTCATGGTCTGGTTTTCTTGTATCATTTATGATGCGCAATGATATGAATTTTGCTTTGGTTGCAATATATCCAAATGATAATCTGAACAAGAACATGACTAATACCTCGCATACACTACCGGTAATGGACTGTTGACATTTTATCTAATAGCTTTTAAAAATGATTTCTTTTTTTTTAGGGAGGTGGTACTGAAGAGCAGACATCCATAGTAAAGTCCGTCATAATAAGTTCATTCTATTGGTGTTATGTACTATCCCAGGTGGCGGGCGGAGTTGCCACTCAATTTTTTGGAACCAAGTGCGTATTTGGATGGTCACAGCTGGCAACTGCTCTTTGTAGTCTACTTATTCCGTTGGCCGTAGAATTACATTACATTGCTGTTATTGTGTTACGTTCTATTCAGGGGTTTGCCTCTGGCTTAACTTGGCCTGCTATGTATGCCATAGTGGGGTACTGGATACCACTTACAGAACGCTCTCGTTTTATGTCAAGTTTTCAAGGATTTAGTATTGGAATTGGTTTAACATATCCATTGTGTGGATTTATATTATCACAGTTTGGATGGCAATATATATTTTATACAACGGGTTCTTTAGGGATTGGATGGTGTTTGTTATGGTATTTGCTAGCTTTTAACACACCTCGTGAACATCCTCGTATTACTAAAGAGGAACTAAATTACATTGAGTTAAATGTCAGTAAAGAGGCTACTAATACCAAATTAAAAGTGCCATGGCCGCAAATATTTAAGTCTTTGCCAGCATGGGCAATTGCAATTACAACCTTTGGAAGAATATTCCTGCATTATATTTTTATTGTAAACGGACCCACATTTATGGGCAACGTCTTAAAGTTTAACTTTGAAACAAATGGTTTTCTATCAGGAATGCCGTTTATTTGCTCATACTTTTCATCGGTGTTGTTTTGTTATATTGCTGATAAATTTATATTGTACAAAGTCCTAAGTCTTACTAATGTGAGAAAATTATTTACAGCATTATCACAGATCATTCCAGGGTTATTAATATACTTTATAGGATATGTAGATAACATACCTCTTTTATTATCAATTTGGTTTATAGCAGTGATATTTATAACGGCATCCTATGCAGGAGCAATGGCAAATATAATTGACATAGCCCCGAATTATGGACATTCTGCTGCCGTCTTAGCATTCTGCCAAACTATTCATATGTCAGCGTCCTTTATTTCACCATTAACGGCTGGATTTCTTGTTACTCAAGAGGTAAATAATAATATATATGTACATACACATATAGATTTTGCTGTAAATATTAGAGATGCTAAGTATTCTTTTTAATATCTGGAAGTCTTTTGGATCTTTTTTTTATAAGCGATGATATTATCGATTTATAATCGTTTTTTCGATTATTTTGTGCCATTTTTAAGCAAGAATTTACTAAATTACTTCTAAAAAATAGCACTTCTCTCGAAAAATTAACCCTTTTTTACGCTTCGAACCAACCCGAATTTTTCTGATAGACTGAGAGCTTTAATTTTTTTTTAAGACTAATAGTTTTTTTCTCTTGCAGAAATTTTCTTTAAATAATTTTTAAGACTTGTATATTTTTTGGTAAAGTTTTTTTTTACATAACTTAAGTAACTTACTTATGATTGTAGTGAACTTTGTTTTTCTAAAATGTCAATAAATGTATCTACAAAGTATACCCAAACTTTGTGGTTTCAGCTGACCGTCTGACCGTCTTCAAATACAAACAAATAAAATATCTTAAAATTTCTTTAAAAAAATTTTCCCTTTGAAAAAACGAATTGTAAAGCATGTTTATAGCCCCAAATCTATAAAAAAGTTAGTTTGGTTCGAAGCGAAAAAATGGTGTCGGGTAGTGTAAACAAAGAACAATTCACACAAGAGGTAGCCCTTGTGGCACAAATTCGGATTATTCCAACTGATGTTTCATTCCAATCCAATTCAAGAGGATTCCGTTCTCCGACCGATTGGGTTCTGCGATGCAATGAAACAGACAATCGTTAAAACAATCGTTGGAAGTTTTCGGGATAAATCTCAACTTTCCTAGTTTTTTACACGGTCAGGTACGTTGCCTGTTCACGCGTTGGCAAACCGTCTTCGTTCTGTGCTTTTAAGCAGGAAATAAAAATCGAACCATTTAAATAAATCAAATTGAAATTGGAACTAACTGTGTTTTATTAAAGCTCTGAAGTTAAAAAGATGGCGTACAATTGGGACTAAATTAAATCGCTATTAGATATATGTATATAGATCCTAGTTTCTAGAAAATAAATTTATTTAATTATCACCTTAATTATTAAATACAACATTAAAAGTACTTTTCGTTTTTTTAGGACTCTATTGATCAGTGGCGAAACGTTTTTCTTGTTGCTGCAGTAATTTCTTTATTGACTTACATTGTATATCAAATATTTGGATCAGCAGAAATTCAGGCCTGGAATATAAAAATACCCAAAATTGACCATTCCGACGAAGAAACTGAGATTTTTCCAAAATCAAATCGGGAACTCAATAACACTTCTGAACCAATGTGAAAACTATTTACTTAATATCCTGCTTAAATCTTTTTAATATTGTTTTACTTATTTTGGAAAAGAGAAACCTGTTATATAAATACAATTTACCTACAGAAATATTTACTGGGTAATTTCAATAATTTTCGATTTAATATTTGTGTATACATACATATGTATTTAGGCGGATGGTAAGCAAGGAAGTTAGTGGTGGTATACTATAATCCGAAAATAAGGCTCTAAAAGATCAACTTTCCTTACAACTCTAGATACACATTCTCAGAGTGGAGAGAAGATAGCTTCGATTCAAGAAGTTGAGGTGCTCTTTTTCCCTCCCCTATTTCACAATGTTGAGATACTTCGCAACGTGGACCATCTATCAAAATCTCATGCTAATCTCATCTTCTTGGTAATCATTGGTTACCGATCAATATCCTAGTATGTGCTGCCGAGCAATCACCCGCCCGTTCACAATCCAAACATGCGAGTAGGGACGTGTGAGACGCTTCTTACGCGTCACAACTTTTATACCCAGCACTCTCTAAATCTGTACTTCAGCGGTTATTTGTCTTTTACATTTTTTTCCACATCTGTCATCTACATGTACTGTCTACTACTGGTAGACTACTGGTGATCTTAGAGATGTGGTAATTCCCTACGGAATGGCGTTTTTATTTTTCAATTATCTTCAAAATTGTGGATTTGGAAGGTTTTCGCCCTTTTGCGGGGGCTGAAGAGGGCGGGGCTAATTTTTTAAATACACTGGTTTCAGTGTTCGCATACAGCAGTCTGGAGCGAAAATTTGGTGGCTCTAGCTCTTATAGTCTCTGAGAACTAGCC